TTATTAATAATAAAAATTATCTTTAATGTTTAATGAGAGAAAATCTCATCATGCCACTTATAATAGTAATACTAGGATATTTATAACAGTGTGTTTATAAATACTTATAAATACAATGTTTTAAAACCTTATAAACATTTAACAATTAGTTTATGCTTAAATAGCATACCCTTTAATTATCCATTTATTTACAAGGTTTAAATAAATAACATTTTCTTACATAATTTATGTAACATAAATAATCAGTGCACTCAAACTAGGTGCAAATCCTAACTTGTAAGCTTGATAAATATAAACCAGTTTCTTGAACATGTGTTTTAAAGATGAGGCATTAAAATAGAAACAGTAATTATTGCAAACTATTTTATTTACTCATTATAAACACAGTTTGAGTTAATTCGGGTGAAACATTATTTTTTTGTCATTTTAATGAATGTAACAAAGATTTAGATATAACAGCAGCCTAACTAGGCATACAAATAATTTGCATAAATAATAACAATAACTTGTACTAATAACTTAACAATCACATTTAATTAACACTTTAAATGTAATCTTTTTTACATGATAAAATAAAATTTACAAAACATTTGCGAACATATTAGAAAATAATTTGCTAAACAAATTGTCGCTCAAAGTTTAACAAATCGGTCACCATTTCAGCAAATGTCACATTCAATTGAGTGACATTATGCTCATAAAACTTGATGTGAGCCGGGTAATTACTTTCATCACCAAAACACCAGTACAAGTAACTGATCTCGTTATCCTTCAGAATCAGATGAATGGTATAGAAGTCTTTTCTCCATTCCCTGTCGTATTCTTTAAAAACCTTCGGACAGACAGCCTCTCCATCCGCACCGAACCCACCCATAACCCGGTGCACGAGGTGTGGCCGGTTGTATAATATCCGAGTTGTCGGTAATATACCCGCGTTATAATACCACTGCTCCTTATCATAGTCCCGGTACGTCTCATACCATAGGCGCAAAAATCTGGCCATTTTATGAGCGACCAGTACCTGAGTGCCCAGGTATTGATCCAAATCCCAGTTAAGGGTCATTTCAAAGTAGCGGAATGGGTCCAGAGATTTACATACATACACATCCCTGTCCAGGTATATGCCACCGAACTCCATGAGCACCCGTATTCTGGTAACGTCGGACGCGTGCCAGTCCAGGTATTCAGTGCTCAAGGGTCGGCCAAATATTTTTGTAGGTTTTACTATTTGGCGCACAATTATCCTGGTGTTAATCCTGTGGGCAATATTCAGGGCTCGCTTGAAGTACTGTCCCTCCAGTTCATGACAATCGCAGTGAATGTATATAATGTCCGGCCGTTGGTTCCTAAGCACCGACACTATGGACAGGAAGTGCGCGAACTCTATGCGACGTATTGTGAACAACACGTAGTGAACAATGTTTGGCACTATTTTGTCCGGATATCCAGTGATGTTGTCGTAGGGGTTGGGATCAGGGATTATGAGGCCCTCGTTTTGGTATAAATTGTATGGTTGCCTCAATATGTAAACCAGTGCTAATATATTAATCATAATGATTAGTCCAAATAAAAGCCGTTTTATATGACTTCTCATCGTTGTTCAATCAAGAAATTGTAAATTAAATCGTTTTTGTAAATTATATGCCAAATGAAAAATAATAATGTGAAATTTATAAAATTATCATTAGCATATCAATTTGTTAAACTGTTTTAATAAATTTTCTATTTTACTCTTATTAGTTATTACAATGTTACAATAGTGAAAATGTTTTGAATATTAATAACTCAAAACAGACCACATATTGCAACATATACTGAAAAATCCAAAGACTTTAACATCTGTTTCAAGAATTACTACAAAATTTATTTTTATGTTCATTAATAACAATAGGAAAGTATTAATAACATTTCAATAGTATATTGCTATATATCAGTATAACTTAGCATAAGTAATATTAATTAAGTATTGTGTTTCAGTAATAAACACTTGTTATGATAAATAATACCAATTGTTATATTGTAGAAATCTTTTATTCAAATGTTTATGTTTATAAAATATAATTCTAATAATGTTTACAAATTAATTAAATAGATTATCCCAAATAACTTTTGAGTTTTGACAATATTTAAAAGATATTATACAAATTATTCAAATATAACTTAGTAAACATATTAAATTTATCATGTTTTACAAACTTTACATAAAACTTACAATTGGTTATAAGTTATAACAGAAATAAATTTCTTTATTAATTCATATGTTTTTACGAATTCAATGATTAACTATATTCTAGTGCCTGACCACAACCTCCTTCACCATTACTACCTGTGCTCTGAGTTGACTATGTGTTAGGGAGTTGGGGTCGGGCATGAGTTTGCGTCCACTGTCTGGCCGTCTGATTGAACCTCTCTCTATCAGTCCTGTAGACCAGTGCGGGCCCGCCCTCCAGGGGGTCGTCGGGGTTGGGTTCAGCCAACAGTTGCTGAATCGATAGCAATACTTTCCCTATGGTTAGGGCTGAGCTCCAGTTCTGCTTAAGTGTGTCCAGACATATACCGCCGAATCGGGAGATGTTTGGGTGGTATACCTGGGTCTGCA